GGGAGACTATAATTTTTGGTTGTTCCTGGGTAGTACTACATTTAAGGTAGGATTCTTCTCTGCTTTCTGAGTAGATAAAATATTCAATGGTTATTTGCTTACATGTCTTGTCTTTTATATTTAGTTAAAAGAGATTTAAAAGACCAAATTTTTCTTTCTTCATCACAATTGTACAACTTTAAATAGAAATGGTCAATTATGTTTGAAAACTAGCAGGGACTATATTTTTGGCGGAATGGTGGCGTATGAAAATATCTTCTTTTCTGCCTCTCAAAATTATTATAGAACTATGAATTTAGTTATAATTTTTACACAATCAAAGACTAGAAGAATTTTTCAAATGTTAGCTAAATTAATAGTAAGGAACTAAATTTTTAAATATATCAAATAAATATGAATTTCCAAACAAACTACAATTATGAAAGCTTTTGAAAGATACGATTCTAAGTACAGATTTGAGCCAAAAATCCATAGAAAGTGTTTCTCTCTTAGCAAATCGGTCAAAACTTTTTGTTTTTGTATTATTTTGTATCTCTGTATGACTGCTTTACCATATTTGAAAATAAGAAAAAGTTAATTATAGGACGCATATAAAAATTTAAGAAAAACAGAGAAAAATCGGATTAGCCAAAATCCTTTTTTGTTAAACTATTTGTGTCAGTTTGGTAATATCATCTTATAGACCCTATATGGTAATATCTTTCTTTGCAAAAAGAAAAACATTTAAATAGAAGACCCTCTATCATGATTGGATGCTGTTATTTTTTATTCTTAATGACAAGGGAAAAGGTTATGACCTTGACCTGACCTTGACTCTAATATAAAACGGCCAAAACTAATCTAACTAATATCATCAGTTAGTAATATTGTCTTCTTTGTTCTGTGAAAATTTCATGAATTTTTAAGTACAAGAAATACAGTTTTGTATGAGAAGAATCCTACCTTAACTGAAAATATTTTTATGACATATTGAAATCAGAAGTTGTTTTAATGAAAACAATGGCCATTGATGGAACTAAAAGTAACCCAAGGCATACCATTCAAACATATTTCAAAAATGATTTATTAATGTTTTTTAAATTCTTTTGTAATTGAATACAATTTCATAATATGCGCTTTCTAAGAAAAATGAGAAGTTTTCAAGATCATTTTTTTTATTATCTGTTCTTATCCAATTTTTAATTGTTCAAGAAAGTAAATGTTTTTAGAATGCCCTCACATGAAGTACGGTGACAATTGTGAAGAAGACTGTCCGTGTAACAGCTATAATACCGAAGCCTGCGATTTGGAGACTGGAGAATGTATATGTAAGCCAGGGTATACCGGGTTCTCCTGCAATTGCCAAGTTGGTCTTCATACCTGCAACTTAAACGTTTCTGATTGCTATGAGGACTCGCATGAAGTATCATGCATTTGCAAAAGAGGTTTTACGCAATCGGAGCACAATTGCACAGGTAAATTAAATGTTATTCTTCTTGCATAAGAAATATGTCTTCAGATATGTTCTTTAAAGGTATTGCAATCTACGGATATAATCTTGATATTAAGTTTGGAAACATTTTATCCAATATTGTTAATTTAACTTCTAATTTTCATGCTCATATTTTTGTCATTAGTATTTTATTACATATTTACAATTAAATTCATTATGGGTTATGAAAAATAACAAAACTGTGGGTAATAATCTTTAAAATTTTCATTCTTTGCTTAATGTTTCTAAAATTAAAGTGCATGTAAAATGTAAATTTTATTTATTTTTTGTTACAGACAATGTGCGCCTAAGTCAGGAAAAATTTGTGCAAGTCTTCAAAGGTGATGGATGGTCTGGTATCTGTACTAGCAACCTGAAGTCTAACGCTTTAGTTATCTGTCGCCATCTTAACCTTAGCACGTACGTATCGCGGGCATTTCAAGATCCCTGTTTTACATTTATTTACTTTTTACATACAATTATAAAAGAAGGACAAAGCACTTGTAAATACACAAGTCAAGACTATATCATCACCATAAATGTGTAAATGCGCTGTACCGGCAGTTTCACTTGAATGGAAGTGAAACTGACCTGAGGCCTGTTGAACAGAACGATCGCGAGCGTCCTTATAATACCTTCAATAGAAATGTTTGCGAGCGCTCGCTCTATTGAATATAGGCCTGAATTGTCAACAGTGAGGATGTTGGGGTAACCACTGCTTGTCAAGATAGTTATTTGCTTTCGCATATGAGAAATCTTGACTTACAGGTTTATTGTTTGATTAATAAGGCTGTTGCGTTAATCTCGTTATTAATTCAGCCTTTATCACTTTATAATTATCAGAATAATGATTATAATAAAATGAATGTTTCATGCATGTACGTGTATTTGATTAGATACGATTGCCAGTCACCTGGCATTATGCAGAACTACAATGTTATATATTGGTATTTATTGACTAGAGGGTCAAAAATGTTGACAAATTATTACAGTTCTATACACCTTAAAGTAAATAAAACAAGAAGGGTGTTAGTGATTATCCTAAGCAACTATTTTAGTTGCCAAAGATCTAGTATATAGTGAACACATCTTATCATTTAATGGAAAATGCTATTCTTTCAGGGAAGTTGTATATTCAACTTCAAAGTTCAGGAGATATGACTATACCAGGACGTCGGTCAGTTGTAGAGGAACAGAGAACATGCTGTCGGAATGTCCTTCTAGAACGGGTTCCTCTTGCTCCTACTCTCCAGTCGTCCACTGTGGCGGTAAGTCTCCGATTTTATGTCCGATGCATTTCGAAGTTTTTTTTTTGCTCAGCAATGATCTTGTATCATTTAGATAGACTTTTACAGTTTTAAGCTTCATAAGTGTCTGTGATAATTTTTTATTTCCTCTTTGAAGAAAGACCTTTATTAGCTCACCTGAGCTGAAAGCTCAAGTAAGCTTTCCAATTATATTTTGTGCGTCATCCGTCTGTCTGTCTGTCTGTCTGTCTGTCCGTCTGTCTGTAAACTTTTCACATTTTCGACTTCTTCTCCAGAACCCCTGGGCCAATTTCAACCAAACTTGCCACAAAGCATCCTTGGGTGAAGGAGATTCACATTTGAATTCAAATGAAGGGCCATGCTCAAATTTAAGGGGAGATAATTGGGAATTAGTTAAAATTTGATGGCATGTTTAAAATATCTTCTACGCAGCATTGTTAAGGCTTGAAAAAGGGGGCGGAGCCTAATTTATACGTAAAAAGTTTACTGTGACGTCACACAAAAATATGACTTTTATGTATTTCTCATAATACATGAAAATGAAATAATTTGCAACTGTTAACTGTATTAGCATAATAAAAAACAATAAAACTTATCAATGCATAAAAAAAAACTTGCTATTTAAATCCCATATAGCTGGTTTTAAACAAAGCACTCATCGCGATGAACTTGTAAGCATGACGTCATTTTTGTAAAAATGACGTATTTCATGTACTGTGAGAGGCAGATTGAGGGATTTTTTAACAATGAAAAATGCGTTTTATTAGTAAACGGAATGTTATTTACAGGTTTTAAATAGCCGATTAATACCAATGTATATCCTTTGTTTAGTGCGATTATTCATTAACTATCTAGATAATGTATCTTATTAATTATGTCGTGTTTTTATGAACAGGTTACGTATATTACACATCGAGATGCCTCATAAAATCGCACTTTCGCAAGGGCATACACTAAATAGATCTTAACCATTTTTTGAATATAGATATAGGATATTTTTCTTAACTTGAAAAGTGCTGCTGCTTTCTTTAAATCGAGGGCGTGATTTTAAAAGTACACAAAATATTTGGTAAAAGTCAAACAAATTTCGACATTGGCTTATTTACCTGAAAATTTAACTATTAAAACAGAATTCTATTCAAAGCAGCAGCACTTTTCAGAAACTACAAAGTCTGCAGAAACAATTAATAGCTTGGATTTTTAATTTCAACAAGAGTATGCCCTTGCGATATTGAAATTTGTTAATGACCTACATTCAGTACACATACTATGCATTTATCACGTGATTGTCCATCGACGGGACCAAACTTTATGCAGTGCAGAGTGGGTTATACTATGCTATTTCCATAAGTCTTTCAGTTCTTCGATAATAAATCAGCTTAATGAAAATAAATTCAGTTTTAAAAAAATCCTCCTTTTTGCACGTACATTTTCCGTTGATTTCTCATAGTAGGCCTTAACAGTGCTGCGTACTCAAGAACCACTGTGGCTGGAAAGATGAAACTTATGGTGAATCATCCTCAGGTAGTGTAGATTAAAGTTTGTTCAAATCATGACCCCCGGGGTGGGGCGGGGCCACAAGGGACGATCAAAGTTTTACATAAAAATATATAGGAAAATTCCTTAAAAATTTTAATCTTAAGAATAGCAAAGCCATATTTCAAATTTATATGAAAGCATCCTCAGGTAGTGTAGATTCAAGTTTGTCCAAATCATGACCCCCGGGGATAGGTTGGGGCCACAAGGGACGATCAAAGTGTTACATAGAAATATATAGGACATATATTTAAAAATCTTCTTCTCAAGAACAGCACAGCCATGATTGGTCAAATCTATATGAAAGCATCCTCATGTAGTGTAGATTCAAGTTTGTTCAAATCATGACCCCCGGGGATAGGTTGGGGCCACAATGGACGATCAAAGTTTTACATAGAAATATGTAGGAAAAATATTTAATAATCTTCTTCTCAAGAACAGCAAAGCCATGGTTGGTCATTTTTATATGAAAGCATCCTCAGGTAGTGTAGATTCAAGTTTGTTCAAATCATGACCCCCGGGGATAGGTTGGGGCCACAAGGGACGATCAAAGTTTTACATAGTAATATATAGGAAAAATATTTAAAAATCTTCTTCTCAAGAACAGCAAAAGCCCTGATTATTCCTATTTACAATGAAGCATGCTCAGGTAGTGAAGATTATTTTTGATCCAATCGTCACGGTCGGGTGGGGTAGGGATGGGGGCAGACTTCAAGGGTAAAAAGAAAAAAAGCCATATTTAGTAAAGAAATATGCAGGCATCTTTGTTAGCGTAGATTCAAGTATTCAAGTTTGTTCAAAGCACATTCCCCTCCATTAGCCACAGTGCTCAAGTGAGCGATGTGGCCCATGGGCATCTTGTTGAAAAGAGAATATTGTTTTCCTGCAAATCAGGTAGAATAGGAAATTTTCTTAATATTAATATATATTTCCTGCCCGAAGATGTGTTTATAGTATTTTATTATATAGAACTCAAGGATTAATTTTCCTCATTCCGACACATTTGTTCATTTTTTTTTTCATTTTCATAATTTTTGTATCGAAGAGATCTTCTCGTGAAATATAATTAGTATGAAAATTTGCGATGTGTGTTCCATTTTCCATTTTCTTATCACAATATATTTAGTTATATACTGGTATCAAGAATTTAACAAAAATGCTTATCATACATGTATTACAAACATGTACTATATTTCAGACAATTTTGCCCCATTTTAAATTCGCCCATTCGTGGTTTTACTTTTAGAAATTATACTGTTTTCTTTGAATTTACTTTGTTTTAAATTCGCACATTTTATTGAGAGTAGAGTGAAAGGGGCGAAGATGAAACGAGTGCGAAAATTTCCCTGTTAACAATAGTGTTTTTTTTTAAATCAAAACCTAATAATTTCATATTTCTCTCCATGGATCTGATGAGTCATTTTTCAAATTATATGGGTAACAATGTGTGGGTAATTCTTTTCATATTACTTATGGAAAGATGTTTCTTGTATCGAGTCATCGTCCTTTTATTGTAAATGAGCCACAGAAAATATACATATATGCTTTAACCTTGTAAGTTTTGCACAAAAGAAGCCTTATATTGTATTTTTGTCGAAAATTTCAGAAGAGTTATTATTCTAAAAATGAAATTAGCTTAAAGATGTTAAGAAGTTCAAAATGTGTCATTGTTTTCTTAAAGAACTTTATTCGGTAATAACCAATATTTGCCCTCCAAAATCAAACTTTGACGGAGATATATTTAAGTAGGTTCTTAAACTGGGGAATATATGCTGACTTCAAAACACTGAATATTTTCATTAGCAGTGACGTCATATGTTTGAAATGACGTCACAAAAATGACGTAAATTTAAAATTTCCATGATTTATACAGAAAAATGTATATTTTACGTCGATATTTTGAGTAAAAGTCACCGAGCGCAGATCTGATCAGGCTCAATATTTTGATATTATGTGTAGAATGATAATATCAATGAAATATGTAAATATTTTTCCTGAGCAAACTTGCGCTCTATAAATTTTAAAGCTAAAGTTGTTGAAATTTTGTCCATTTTGTATTCTTTCTAAAAAATTATATAAAATCAACTAGTTTGTGACGTCATAAAAACAAAAATTGTGAATAAACTACTTTGAAACTATAAAGTGATCTGTTAAATTATATTTCTCTCACAATTTATAAAATTAAGCACATTTCAAGAATTTTTCAAATTTGGGTTTTGTAGGGGCAAAGGTATGCATTATGCCGCATATAGTTCTTTGTGAAATGGATGTTCTCTCAAACTTTGATGCCGTCGTTAGATATAAAGTAATTAGTCTTGTGCTTTTAAATACAACTTCTTTTTTTATAGGACATAAATGTACTTGTACTTGCACAACGCAAGACGTGTTTTCTTTTCATTAAATTTAAGATTTTTATTAGCTCACCTGAGCCGAAGGCCCAAGTGAGCTTTTCTGATCAGATTTTTTCCGTCGGCCGCCCGTCTCTCTGTCTGTCCGTCTGTAAACTTTTCACATTTTCGACTTCTTCTCAAGAACCACTGGGCCAATTTTAACCAAACGAGGTACAAAGCATCCTTGGGTGAAGGGAAATTTAAATTGTTAAAATAAAGGGCCAAGGTTCCTCACAAGGGGAGATAATCAAGAAAAGTTAATAATAGGGTGGGGTCATTAAAAATCTTCTGAAGAAGAACCGCTGGGCCAGAAAAGCTGGAACGTATGTGGAAGAATCCTGCGGTAGTGTAGATTCTGAATTGTTCAAATCATGACCCCCGGGGGTAGGGCGGGGCCACAATGGGGAATCAAAGTTTTACATAGAAATATATAGGAGAAATCTTTAAAAATCTTCTTCTCAAGAACCACTGGGCCAGAAAAAGTGAAACGTATGTGGAAGCATCTTGGGGTAGAGTAGATTCTAAATTGTTCAAATCATGATCTCCGGGGGTAGGGCGGGGCCACAATGGGAAATCAAAGTGTTACATAGAAATATATAGGAAAAATCTTCTTAAGAACCACTGGGCCAGAAAAGCTGAAACTTATGTGATAGCATCCTGGGATAGTGTAGATTCTAAATTGTTCAAATCGTGACCCCTCGGGGTAGGGCGGGGCACAATGGGGAATCAAAGTTTTACATAGAAATATAACGAAAAAATCTTTAAAAATCTTCTTTTCAAGAACCAGTGGGCCAGAAAAGCTGTAGCTTTTGTGAAAGCATTCTTGGGAAGTGTAGATTCTAAATTGTTCAAATCATGACCCCTGGGGGTAGGGCGGGGCCACAATGGTGAATCAAATTTTTACATAGAAATATATAGGAAAAATCTTTGAGAATCTTCTTCTTAAGAACCACTGGACCAGAAAAATTGAAACTTATGTGGAAGCTTCCTGTGATAGTGTAGATTTCAAATTGTCTAAATTATGATCAGTGGGATAGGCCTCTTGTTGTGTGCCCGGATCAAAAGATCCGGGGCGTATATTGTTTTTGTCCTGCCTGTCTATCTGTCTGTCTGTTTGTCTGCAAACTTTAACCTTCTCCATAACCTTGATCTAAGAGAGATAGAGACCTTATATTTAGCATGCTTACTCCACTAATTATGCTCTTTCAAATGACACCAAGGTCAATGGTCTTGTGACCTTGACTGTGACCTATATGCTAAAAATAGATTTTTCTGCAAACTTTAACCTTTGCCATAACTTTTTAACTATGAAAGATAAAGATGTAATATTTAGTATGCATACGCCACTAATTAACTAACTTATCAAATAACGTCAAGGTAATTGACCTTGTAACCTTTACTGTGACCTATGTACTAAAAATAGCTTTTTTGCACCTTCGCCATAATATTTGAACCATAAGAGATAGAGACTTCATATTCGGTACGCATACTCCACAAATCAGGTTATTTTAAGTGACACCAAAGCCAATGACCGTGTGACCTTGACTGTGACCTATCTGCTAAAAATAGCTTTTTATGGACTTTGTTGCCGTAGGGTGCATAGTGTTTCACAATCACATCTTGTTTTAAAGAGTGAATTGGTGATGAATATTTGATACATGTAAATCCCTAACAACAGTTCACCATATTTATCATGTTTAATTTCAGAATGCCCAGAATGGAGATTTTCATCAGATTGTTCCGAGACATGTGATTGTGACAGGGACACGAGTACAGGATGTGATTTCAGAAACGGAACCTGTTCTTGTCGTGACGGTTTTAAAGGGGAGGACTGTAGTTGTCATGTGTCTACAGCTCCTTGCTCGGGATCGTCCTCTAAATGTAAACTTGACAGATGTATCTGCAAAGAAGGATCCTTTAATCAGTCAGCGTCTTGTTCAGGTAATTAGATTTATATGTGGAGATTGAAAAGTAAAGTAATTAAAGTCAACACATTACAAGTCACGTATATTAAACTTCGTGCCCATCTTTAAAACATTTTGACGAATGAATGTCATGAAACATACGGAAATAACGAAAAGTACTAAATATCAAAAGTCCATAAAACAATACAAAACAGGAGCAGAGCAAACACGGACCTACAAAACATCAGAGGTGGGATCAGGTACCAGGGAGGAGTGAGCATCCCCTGCCGACCGGTCACACCTGCCGAGTGTTCCTTGTCATGATCGGGAAATAACGGAAAAATCCGTCGTCAATTCTGTGTATAAATAATGGACTAACAATTAGTATGAAAAACATCAGTCAGCATTAGAGTCAATGATAAATTGCATTTGCTGACATGGTCATTGTATCGACCATAAAACTTATGAACTGAATTTTGAAAATAGTATGTGTTAATCTTTCATTTTTTTCTGTTCCATATATATGATATATAGTCGTCTGATATTTTTAAATGATAGCTACCCAGAAAATATTATGCAGCTATCTTCCAACATGGTCAATTTTTTTTACAAGTACCCGGTAAATTATATTATTTTCCACACAAAAATAGCTAGGAAATTAAAAAAAATTGCTATGTTATTGCTTTATTTTTCAACAAGTAGTTTGTTCCTGATACGTGGTGCTTAAAGAATAACTTTGTTGTATTCATTTAATATTTCATGAAGCGCTTATTCCTTTCATGATAATATGCTGGCGTGAAGCGTTGTAGTTCCGGTACCTCATGAATCTTCAAAAATTAAATTCATTTCTTATACATGTATTTACATTATTTCTTGATGAGTTACTACAAATAACGCCATTCAACTGTAATTTTTAAAGCAAAACTGTTTGCACTAAAGTATTGATGTCAAATGCAGTATTATGACGTAACAATGGAGATATTCATGTTCATTCGTGGTAGTTCATGAGAAACTGAACACAATTCTAATTTGTCAGGGATGTTAAAGACAAATAGATGGAAATGTAAAAATACTAGAATAAATTTTTCACTTTATTTGATGATAGAAATTATATTTTCAAAAAACATCAATTTCTGAATAAATGAAAATTGATTAAAGTATTACAAAATTTCATATTCAAAATTGATTTTAACTGAAACAAATATTTTAAAATTATTTTTATTATATATTTTTTATTGATTTTCATTAAAATTCTGATGAAATTTGAAAGGTTTTATCACACAGCTGACGACTAGAACTAGTTGAATTGAATTTTGATATTCTGGTGATTGAAAAGGCCATGAAGCGTTTGCTACAGGTGCTTGTATTTTTTCCCCTCCTAAAATTGATATTGAATTCTAGAATACAGTTGATATGAAAAAGAACGTACCTATCACTTTCTTGCAGTGATTTACGAGGGCTGTTCAGTAAATAATGTTCTCGGTGATCGGAAAGAAACAACACTCCCCCCCCCCCGTTTTTCAATGATTTAATCTGAATGATTTCACTTAAGTAATACCCTTTAATTAAAATATAGGTCCGTAACATTTTTATTAGCTCTTCTGAGCCAAAGGGTCAAAGAACTAATGCTATGGCCATTTGTGCGGTGTGCATTAACTTTTTATAATATAGGCCATAATTCACGAACCCCTTGGCCAATCAGTGTCAAATTTGTCACAGGGTATCCCTGGCCCAAGGGCTTCCATTTATACAAAAATAAGGGTTGGTACCCTTAAACAAGGGAAGATAATCAGGAAAACAAAACCAAAAGCACTGGTTGCTAAAAAATCTTCTTCTCCATAACCATCAGGCGGATTTTCACCAAACTTACATACAAGGATCAGGATATATCAAAGATTAACATTTGCATGGGGAATTACCCTGGGGCTAAGGGCGTGGTCTCAAGGTCACTTCATAGTTTACCTAAATTTAAACTTAATAAAAACGTTTATATTTTGCTAACCATAAGGAGTAGGATCATGAATCTTGTAAGTTGATGCATCTTAGGACTTTACATCATGTAAGCTCAAAGTAGGTCACGGTATTTGTTTTCAAATTGATTTGAAGGCATATTTTGGACACTTTAAGGCCTATGATCATCAAACTTTGTCATTTGATGCGTCTTGAGTTCTTGAACAACGTCAACCTAAAAGGAGGTCACCGTGACTTACTTTTTGAATTTTATGACTAATCCTTTCTAAAATATCTAACCCCTTATTATATGATTATTTCAGACACTGAGAGGTTAAGAATCATCAAATCTTGTAAGTTGATGCATCTTGAGACCTTTAAACATATTTATAAAGAAGTAGGTCACTGTGACCTACTTATTGAATTTTGCAGGTATTTGTTTTCAAATTGTTTAAAAGGCATATTTTAATTACCTACAGACCTACGATCATCAAACTTTGTCAGTAGATGCATCTTGGGACTTTGTAAAATGTCGACGAAAATGTAGGTCATGATGACCTAATTTTGACATTTTATGGCTATATTTAAGTATCTTAGGTATTTATTGGCTTAGAATCGTCAAACTTTGTGAGTTGATGCATCTTGGGTTTTCGGAGAATGTCGACTAAAAAGAAGGTCACTGTGACCTACTTTTGACATTTAATGGCTTTATTTAAGTATCTCCTGTATTTATTGGCTTATAATCGTCAAATTTTTTCAGTTGATGCATCTTGGGTTTGCAGAAAATGATGTCTAAAAAGAAGATCACGGTGACCTATTTTGACATTTTATGGCTTTATTTAAGTATCTCCGGTACTTATTGGTTTAGAATCATCAAACTTTTTCAGTTGGTGCATCTTGGGTTTTCGGAGAATGTCGACCAAAAAGTAGGTCACGGTGACCTACTTTTGAATATCTTGGGTACTTATTGGCGTAGAATCGTCAAACTTTGTCAGTTAATGTATCTTGGGTTTTCGAAAATCGTCGACCAAAATGTAGGTCAGGATGACCTACTTTTGACATTTTATGGCTATGCTTAATTATTTTCAGGTACTTATTGGCTTAGAATCATCAAATCTTGTCAATTGATGCATATTGGGATTTCGAGGAACACAATCCAAAAATTTCATCACCTTGACCTACTTTTGATATTTTATGGCTATATTTTTGTTTCTCGAGTACTTATTGACCTATAATTGTTAAACTTTGTCAGTTGAGGTATCTTTGGTTTTCGGAAAATGTCGACCAAAAAGTAGGTCATGATGACCTACGTTTAAATATATATATCTTGTACTTATTGGCTAAGAATCATCAAACTTTGTCAGTTGATGTATCATTGGTTTTTGAAGATCGTCTACTAAAATTTAGGTCACAGTGATCTACCTGTGACATTTTATGACTATATCTAAGTATTTTGTATACTTATTGGCTTAGAATCAATAAACTTTGTCAGTTGAAGCGTCTTGGGTTTTCGGAGAATGTAGACAAAAAACTTGGTCACGTTGACCTACTTTTAAATAAGGTCACGTTGACCTACTTTTAAATATCTTCAATACGTACTGGCTTAGAATCTTCAATCTTTGTCTATTAATGCATCTTGAGTCCTCAGAAAACTTCAATCTTAAAGTAGGTCAGTGTGACCTAAATATGTTTTTTTTATAGCTTTATTGAAATATTTTCAGTCCTAATTGGCTAAAAATCATCAAACCTTGTCTGTTTATGCAACCTGGGTCTTATGATACTTAGGGTTAGAGGCTTCAAATGTACAAGTTATCAGAAGAGCGATGCAAGGCCCTTGGGCCTCTTGTTAAATTTCTGATTGATTTTTAGAACACATTTTTGAGTATGGCCCTTTGCGTACTGAAATATGACAGATCCTATGATTTCCTGGACTTGTTTCTTCTTTCTGAAAAGTGAAAATTCTGGCAAATTCTGTTAGTGTGACAAAACATGAACTATTTTTTTATCCCGACAATTTCTATACTCTTCATGGCGTTTGGGTTTGGATGCTGTCATGAAGAAATTTAATGTTATGGATTCCTAATTCTGGTTAAATCCGCTCATAAACCTTTCGATACTTTCTGGACTTCTTCAGAAATTGAACTGCATCCCCGAAAAAGAATTAGAACAAAAACATATCTAAGAAAATAGCACATAAATCTCTTTTTAAGATTTTTCAATTCTTTGCTCTTCTCAGACCTTGGCTGTTTTTGTCAAGTGCATCTTATTGTAAATTTCTTTTGAGGGTTTAAAGCGATGGATTCAAGATTCTTTATCTCTTTAAAGTGAGACAAACGTTAAAAACTACACTTTTTGATGTTTTAGAATAATTATTTAGTTGTTTTTTTTTCACGTTGTCGTTTTCACTCATTTTCAAAACAAGGGTGACCATTGAGTACTTCGATTTTATTTACTGAAAGATGTTTTTTTAAAACAGTGTAAGCTACCTCCAAAATGATGCATATCAATCTTCCTATATGTCTTAAAGTCAATCAAACATTGTCAGTGATAATTTGTTGAATTTTGGCAAA